AGCATTGTACAAAAACTCTACCGCAGTAAGTAAATTTAATTTACACTAAGTTCACGTTAAGTTAAGTATTGTTAAGTTAAGTTGTGTTAAGTTTTTACATTATAAAAATTAAATTTAAGAATTTTCAATGAAACTTAATTTAAATTTTACTAAGTTCACGTTATGTTAAGTCAAGCTAAGTTAAGTTAAGCAACATTTAAAAATTAAAGTATTTCAATTTGTTTTATAAAAAAATAAAATAGAAGTATTTTCAATACAGCTAAATTTAAATTTTACTAAGTTTATGTTAAGTTAAATTACGTTAAGTTAAGTTACGGTATTAAAATATATTGTAAGCCAATGGAGCCAAATTTACATTAAGTTAGTTTAAGTTATGTTAAGTTAAGGTATGTATGTAACATAATGCAAGGTCATGTTAAGTTTGGATGTGTTAGTTTTTTGGGTTATAAAAATAAAATTTATTTATTTTCAATGAAGTTAAAATTAAATTATACGAAGTTCACGTCAAGTTAAAATACGTAAATATTAGGTATGTTAAGTTAAGTTACTTTATTAATATAATGTATAAGTATTTTGAGTGGAGCTAAATTTAAATGTTTTTAAGTTTACGTTAAGTTTACTTACATTAATTTAATTTATGTTAAGTTATGTTACGTCACGTAAAGCTATGTTAAGTTACGTTACGTTAAGTTTTTATGCTCAAAAATTACTTAAGTGAAGCTAAACTGTTTGCGCTAATAATTTTAAGTAAGTTAAGTTATACATATACATTTCACTAGCCACCACTGTATTTCAACATAAATATTTATGCATTATACAGACAGTGTGAATGTACATGTGCATTGCTGAGTGGGTGTTTATTTTGGTTTTTAGCATTTCGGCCAAGTTTATTGCCTGCCACATGCAATTGCAATATATTTTAACAACGGCTGCAACAAAAGCAACAACAAGAACGACACGCCAACAAACTAAGCGCCTGGAATGTGGGTGCAGCAAAGAGCAAACAAGCAAAAATGCTACATACATATTTGCCAACCAATGCACTAAAGAGATTACCAAAGTCCGTTAGTTTAGACGGCAAAGCAGCAGTATTTGAATGTCTGCTGGTGGTGAAGCAACGCACACGATGTCTTGGCAAATAATGGCAATAATGAAAAACAGTTAAAATGGGTGTTGACATTCGATGTGGCGAAGCGAAAAAGCAAAGCAGCAAAGAAGAAGAAGAGGCAGCTGCAGCGGAAGGAGGCCGTCGGCCGCATACGCCGCAAACTTTCTAAGAACGAAGTTTTGTAGGAGTCTTGAAATGGTAAAAATAAAATAAAATAAAATCACAACGCAGCGATAAATAAGCAACAAAAAGCGGCTAAGCGACGCGACCGGAAGTGCCGGCAAATTCACCAACGCGGGTATTTATATAAAAGTGGCGATAAGCGTTGGAGTCTTGTTATGCCAAATGCAAATAATTGCAACGGCAACAACAACAATGAAATGCGAGTGTGGAAAAGTGGCAATATCAGAAATGCTAAAGAAATACTAAACGTAGTTAGAAGCCGCGAGCGATTTCAAGGTTGATTCTGGCTGGATATGAAAATGCGCAGACATTGTAATTGCAGTTGTTGTGGCAATATTAAAGAGTGGTAAACGTAGAGTCCTTATAAAGGATAAATTATAATTTTCAATATATTTCTGTTGCAAAAACTTATTTTTAGCACAAAAATGTAGTAAAAAAATTTTTAATATTTTTTTTACTAAAATAAATTTTTTTTTCTCATTGACAAGAAATTTAAAGAATAAGTTTAGTTACTAAAAAATTCTTTAATTTTTAATAAGTGTTTTGAGATTTCTTATTAATGTAAAAATACTTGAAAAACTGCATTAGCTATTAAAAAACTAATTGGCAACCCTAAACGTAAAAATATATTTATACCATATGCTTTTGAAGTGTTGAAAAGAAATTAATTGTTATAAATTTTCATTTATATTTTAAAAGATTATTAGTAACAAATTGCCACGGCAACCCTATCCTTTAATTTTGTAGAAATAATTATTTTAATAGAAGGTGAAAATTCATCAGAAACATTTTTTAAGCATATTCTAAAAGATTTGCAAAATAATGTAGATGGCAACCCTAGCATACTTATAGCAAACTTATATGGCAATCCTATGTGGCGGAGTCTGTTTTAATTTTATAGAAATCATAATTTGATTAGAGCCTCAAAATTTATCAGCAAAAAATATAATTTGTTGCAAATTGAAAATACTCGTATATAAATATTGAAAGTTAAATATTTTAATTTTAGTTGGCAATGCGGTTTTTTAGTATTTTGTTAAAACAAAACTTTCCCTCTCCACTCAATTTGTTTTACTGAATATATAAGTAAATTGTTTTAACATTACCACGGTTGGCAAAAAATTTATATGGCAACCCTATGCAGCACAATTTTTGTTAATTTTATAGAAAAAACTTTTGATTATTACTTAAAAATTCATAAGATTAAATTGTATTTATTGAAAAATAAATATCTAAATTTTAGTTGGCAACTCTATTTTATAGTATTTTGTTTAAAACAAAGTTTTCTCTCTCTCGCTCTCACCGCTCAATTTTTTATAGTTAATATTAATACATTGCTTAAACATTTTTTATGAAGTTGATAATTCTAGTTAGTTTTCTTTTTTTTATTTAATATTTTTTAACCAATTTGTTTTTGAACAAACTTGCTATTTCCTCCTTAAATAGTAGATTTTCTAACACAACTAATTAAAACCACAATTGTATCAACACTTCTTACGCCGACTAATCCCTAGAGAGCGCAACTGTGGAGTTGGCAACTCTGATATTAACAAAATTATTATTCAAATTGCCGCTGAAAACTGCAAAACGCCGCCAAAGCAGAAAAAAACAGAAACAAACACATTTTACTCACAACAACATAAAGCCAACACAAAAAGGGTGGCAACATTCGCACTATAGCCAGTCAATGGCGAAGTAAAGCCTCAACGCCAACAAAAAACAACGAGCTGCCAGTCAGCATTAGCATAAATTCCAGTTGTAACGGTGAAAAAGTAAAACAAAACGCGTAAATGCACAAGGAGTGTACAAAAAAGGCGACATGCCAAGTTACCAACCCAACCAACGGTACATGGCTGGCAAAGGCTGCAACAGACACGGAGTCAACTAGGCAATCGCTGAGGACAACACGTCGCACAGGCAAAGCAATAAAGTGACAACAGCAGCTACAAGTCCATTTGAAGTTGCCATAGACACTGCCAATTCCCGTAAGAAAAATCAATGGCGGCGACAGCGTTGAATGGACTACTGACGACGCCTGCTGCCGGCAGTGCCCAGCAGACAGGCAGCTGGTGACTCGTATTTACTTATTTGGTACTGACTTTTTTACTCTCCAACCATTTCGCGTGATTTTTTCTTCTCTTACGTTTATTTTGCTTTTATTAATTTTTTATTTCGTGTTTTTCTCATTTTCCATTTTTGCACTCACTTCTCTTTTGCAACCGTCACACTTGTCTACATTTTGCCATCATTTGTTTCTATTATGCCATTGTTCAAGCCATTTCATTGAGATTGTAATGCAAGTGACACAGTTTTTGCTTCCTCTTCTTCGCTTGAAATTTATTAGTGAATGCCCTGAATGCTGTTGAAAATGGGCAAAATAATGAGAACACTCACAGATAGTTTTGTTGTTTCCCCTAATGAAAAAGAGCTAACGAAAAATGTGTGCCAAAAATAATATAAATCAGCCGTAAGGTGGTTGTAGTTGATGCGAAAAAATCGATAATCGATAGACATATAGAGTTCAGGTTAGATTGAAGATTTCTACGCATATTTTTTATTCTATCAAGGCTATTGAAGTACAATAGTATGGCAGGCCACTTAAGGAAAAGAACTACCAAATCGTCAAAGTTGGATGGAGAAAGGCGAGGTAGCAACCTCTAGGTACTTTTCTATCAGTTGTTCAGCTTTTGCAAGAATGAGTTTGAAACAACTTGGCAGTCATACTTCCAGCGAGCCAATAGAGCTATTGAACGAAATTAATATTATAGCCGTCTCAACAAATTTGTGATACACTCAAAGTGTTTTGTTGTTTTATGTGGATTTTTATCGCGGAAACTTCAAAAACACTCTACTTGAATACAACCAGAGATGGAAGCGTCAGTTCTCTATATCTTTATCAGACATCAGATTCAGCTCTCAGCTGAAATTCTTAAAAATTAAAGGCGTGGAAATATTTTCATAAATATGACAATATCCTCCACATTAGCCAATTCGATGAACAGAAAATCAACTAGAGAATATTTTTTATACGATTGCGGAGGCTAGAGCAAGATCTAAACCGATTTCATCTACTTTAGGCATAAAACTAAAAAAAAATTGATCACACAGAACTCTAATATTGGATTGAAAAGGGACAACATGAAGTACAAGGTTGTATAGCACGCTCATAATACAACTCTGGACTAATTCGGCCAAAGCAAGAATAAGCCTTTCTGTTTAAGAATAATAATCCATTTTTGGTAAATCCAGAAATACATATCTCAACAATGGCTAGATAAAAGTTCAAACCTAGTAGTTCTCAAAACCTGTCTGGTCCAAATGCGTTAAGTGTAAAGCACAAATCCTTTATGACGAAACTTAAATATCAGCGCTCATGATTGTTGTAGGCTGAGACTGGTCAGGGACCTTAACGCGTCGTTTTTGTGATAAGTTTGGAAGTAAATGTTTGATTCTTACGTTTTCGGCGAAACTCGACACTTAAGTCTAAGTTACCTCAACACTTTTCAACCTTATTTAACTAGGAGCTCCAAAATCGGAGAGTACCAACTTTTCAGGCCTTCACGCGGATTGTAGCTTTTTGTTAGTTTCTAAATTGATTTATTACAAAAATTGTTTAAAAAAAATGTATTTTCGAGCACTTTAAGCGAAGACTTCATGGCATACATCACTTGAAATACAGAAAACTCAAAGATCTAAAGATCTAACTCACCGTTCACTGAAAATATCCGCTGAAAGAGGGCACTCCTTCACTGACTCAACTTGCGGTTTTATTCTTAAATACTGCAACACAGCAAAACCGGAAACTTTGAGATTTACCAGCAATGCACAGACGCCGGCTACAGCATAACCGCACAAGCACGAACTAGTAACTTCCGCTTATTTATATGCATTTATGCATATGCTTATGAGGCAAAGTAAATTATCCACTTAAAAGTACCGCTTTCGCGGCATAGTAAGCGCTAAAGACGCAGGTGGGTTGGTAGCGCTGTTTGAGACCGAAGCCTTTGTGAGCTCAAATATGGCAGATTGAGGCTTGCCGCAGCTTGACAGCTGATTTGCTGAGGTAAAATCTAAATATGTGACATTTTGAGATGCTACGCTACACATATGTACAACACTGTTGTTGTTTCTTCTGCGCCCCCTTCTTGCATTTGCTCAGTGCTCCTTGTCACAGTTGAAGCACCTTTAATCCTTAAGCCTTAATCCCGGCTGATAACGACGAAAACGTGCAGACTGAATGGCGTCGCTGTGGTTCTCATTTAAATGCAACAGCAGCAGCGTCAGCGTTTAGCAGACGCCAGCCATGTAACACGGTTTTGCGGGACAGGGAGCGCAAGTTGGCCCAGCAGCTGAGTTCGATAGATAGCAGAAAGTGGAAAAACATAAAACGAATTATTAGCGTCAGTTGCTGTGTGACTTATAAAGAGCATAAGAGAGCGAGAGAGAGACCGAAAGCAGAGAGCGTTGCGAATTGGTGCGTGTAACGTCAAAATGCCGAGTCTTGTACAAAAAGAGAGAGCGCACGAGAGTGGGTGCAATGCACCGCCGCTTGGCGCTACGTGGGAATTTCACTTATCACTATGCCAATTGTTGCTTGTTGTTGTTTTCCGCTTGTGTTGTTATTGTCTTGTTACTTGTTTTTAAAATAAACATTACTAATTGCAGATAATGCACTTTCTTCTGAGCGTAAAAATAGTTACAACAACAATGATGACTAACACATGTAAATTTGTTGTTGTTTTGGTCCATATGTTGTTAATCTGACGCTTAGTCAGAGGCCTATAACTCTGTACGCTGATAACAGTGTTGCAAATAACGGTGCCATGCATGCCGTTGTTGTTATGATATACATAAATATTTATTCATAACGGTTTGTTATAATGAGCTTTTACTTTACTAGTAACATACACCAATTAGACTACTTTAATCCCAAAGATCCTTCATTGCAAATTTCATAAACCTTTATTTGTGTTTCTCGGTAAACTTTGTAAATATCGTAAGCTTTCATGACACTATGAGCGTTCCCTACATCTGACCTTTAACCACAATAAAATCTATCTTGTCCTCCTCCGGTTTGTTTCTTTATATTTTGTTATCTTCCGTTAAAACACTATATGAATTTGAATACCTATGTTCATATATAACCTTAGAGAACTTGATTGCAATAGCAATATTTTTGTATAGCTAAAAACTTAAGGATGACAGGTTCACAATAGAAATTTGCTTAAAAGAGCTTTTGTTAATTCGAAGCTTTCACTAAACAAGGCATAGACTCTGAAAGTAGCTTTAAGTCACACAAAAGGTTTTGTTAAACAAGGACTACTCTATCATACATCATTGACCTCAGGATCAGTTTATCAGGATCAGCATTAAGTCAGAGAGAGTTCCAATTAATCTATATACAAGTATATAATATGTATATATATCTAGCCTGAATATTGAAATTAGGCTCTTTAGAAAAAATATGGAAGTTTAGCTAATCCGTTATAACAGTTCAATCCGCTGGTACTTCTTTTATGCAGCTAAAAGCTTTCTATATAAAAAATGTATCGATGATTTTTTAAGTTTTTTATATTTTATTTCTTTATTGTAATTTTTAAATTAATTTTTTTGTTGTAATTGTTTATTAAATTTTATAACTTTTTATATCTAATTTTTAATATTATTGTAATATTTTATTAAATTTTATAACTTAATTATCGATTATTCTTTTCATTTAATTTTTATTTTTATTGTAATTTTTAATTTATGTTTTACTGAATTTTTTTTTTGATCTTATAAATTATTTATCGATAATTTTATAAAGCATATTTTAATTTTTATTGCATTATTTTATCAAATTTTATAACTTAATTATCGATAGTTCTTTCACTTTAATTTTTCAATGTAACTTTTTATTTTAGTTTTTATGGTTTTTTTAATTTATAACTCATTTATTGATAATTCTTTTAATGAAATTTTATATTTTAATTTTTATAGTATTTTTTTTTATTATTTTAAAATCATTTATTGATAATTCGTTTAATTTTGTTTTAATTTTTTTTTTTAAATAAATTTTTTATAACATTTTTTTAAATTTTTAAACTTTTTTATCTATAATTTATTTAACTAATTTTATTTTTTATAGTATCTTTTTATCAAAATTTATAACTTAATTATCGATAACTCTTTTACTTTAAATTGTTAATATAATTTTTTATTTTAATTTTTATTGTTTTTTTTTAAATTTATAACTTATTTATTGCTAATTCTTATAATTTTTAATTTTTTTTAATTGTAATTTTTGATTATATTTTTTTAGTGCATAACTTACTTAGCAATATTTTTTTATAATCAACTTTTAATTTTTTTTTCTTAATTTTCCAACTTATATTTAAATATTCAAAGATTTTTTTATCAACCAAACTTATAAATTTAATTTGTTACTTAAATTTTTTTCGTCACTGTTTACACGGTTTTTTATTATAATGAAAACACTGCTAGCAAATTAATGTTTTAAAATGGTTCTTAATATTTTTTATTCTTCCCAACTTTTTGTTTAGAAATAATTTAAAAAATTATTAATTTTTTCTTAAAAAATTTTCGGAGTTATAAAATTTTAGTTATTTCTTATTATTAAACTATCATTATTAATTTGTAAATTTCCATAATATTTAAATAAATTTCTTTTTAAATTTATTTTCTTGTTAATTATTTATACTTTTATTTATTTAATTTTTTTGATATTTTTAACAAATCAATTTTTAAAAATTTGGCTTAAAAAAAATTTTTTTTTTTACTATTGTACTTTAAGAATATCTTAAAAAGAATATACATATATATATTTCTTAATTTTAAATAATTAATTTAATTTTGAAAAAAATTTTCCAATTCATTTATTTTTATATTTTTTTTTGTTTTGTTAAATTTCAACTTGAATCCTATAACATATTTTATCATTACATTTTTATTTTATAAATTTTTTATTTTTGAATTTTTTTTTTTTTTAAATAGATAGAATATGTATTTTTATTATTTTTTATTTTATTATTGCAGTTGTCTTCAGTTTAAGACTTTTTTATTTTGTTATTCCCTTTCTAACTTCCTGATCATTGCACTTTCGCTTCAAATACTCCACCCTAACATGCAACTGCATCAATTGCTATCTTCTCGTTGTCACTTCGGCTTTGTTTTTATTATTATTTGCATAAAAATACGCACTTTCTCAGCATATCTACTGCATATGCACACGCTCTCGCGCACTTTAAATCTCTCTCTCTCTCTCTTCTCCATTTGCTATGCTCTTTTGTGGGCGGTTGGCTGCGCCAATGTTTTGGGCTGTGCCAGCAGGTGGCCATATGTAAGTAGTTGCTATTACTTGTCTATTGTTGTTGCTATTGCTATGCTGTTGTTGTGATTTTTTTTAATGTTGTTTGTTGGCGTAAACGTCAAAGGAAGTTTGGGAGTTGGTTTTTCGTTGACATTCGTTTTTTGCTTATTTTTCTTGTTTTGTTTTGCAAACGCAAAGGCTCAATTCGATTTTTCGCACAAAACGGTAAAATAAAATATTAATTTGGAGTAAATTTTTAATGGCATGCATATTTATTTTTGATAATATTTAATAATTTATTGTAGTTTTTTATATATTACAATAACTCAGTGCAGATTTTTGCACAAACGCCAGCTAGCAGCTGTCAAAATAGCACGCTTTCCAGCGACACGAGCGTTTTGCCTCTTCACTGCACGCATGCCGCTCTATATATGTATATAGTATGTACATACATATGTATGTATGCACATGCAATTACATGGCGCTGCTTGCAGCGATTTTCGCACGCCAATTCACATATGTCGGCATATAGCTTGGCCTATTGGCAGTTGTCATAGGCCTGCAGCTGTCACAGCCCCACATTTGTACGCTTATGTATACATAAATATATGTACGTATATATTTTTCATGTAAAATTGCACTTTTGCATGTGTATAGGTACGTATGTATTTATGTATGCATGTAAGCAATTGCCACACTATACGTCAATGCACTTTACAAAATTCAGCACTTGCGACACCCTCACATGCACTTACTTTGCTTATTTGCTGTTGTTGCGCGAGCACTACAATTTTTTGTTGTTTTTCTTACGCGAATGCCGCTACACACACGCTGCTATATTTATTTGATAAACGCTTACACTTATTTCGCACTTAAAACACACAAAATTACGCGTCAAGAAATTCGAGTGCGAGTTTTATATATTTATATAAATTTTTAAAAATATTCTATTTTCTTCTATTTTACCTTTACTGAAAACACCGCAACGATAAAAGTATCGAGGAAAACACACACAGAAATAAAACGGCAAACCAAACCCAAACGCATGGGCTAAGGCAACGAACAACTAACTAACTGACAGTGGACCGCGCGACGGCTACGACGGCTACGACGGCTACAACGGCAACGACAACACAACTTCACTGATGAATGCCAGCAGAAAAACTGCTCTTCCCCAACGAGTTTCGTCGACGGCTATGCAAGCCGAAGCAACAGCGAGCAGCTGAGTTGGGCCATGCCCATTAGTGTCGGTGAGTTTGTGGCAACAACAGTGAGTAACAGTGGCAAGCATGAAGGCGATACACACACACACACACATACAACTACATGAATCTATACATAAATACAGTATTGTGGCATGCGAATTTCTCATGCTCAGTTGAGTGTGTGTGTTGGTGGCGCACAATTGGAATTTACGCTCTTTGAGGTCATCAGCAACAGCCGCAGGGCAATATACACGCAGTTACAGGCATACAAGAAAATTATTTGGAAACCTATTGTGAAGTCAGACTACGTAATGTCACTACTTGTACGCTTGTTTACTGTGCCAAACTATTGAGTAGTGGTGCTAGTTGGAGCGGTCTCCTACTTGTATATAGTAATGGCGCTCTTTAGTATGCGCTCAACTAACTGCATATGTGGAAATGGATACTCTTCACCTGAGCGAGCATGAATTTGGTGTTATTTTTGTTAAAGAGAAAATTGCATGTGCTTTTAGCTGGCGTTTATTGTATGCACACAGGGTGTGTCAGAGGACAGAGAAATATTGCAAATGTTTTCTTCAACTGAAATATTTTCCAACTGCCATGAACAAACATTTCAACATGTTCTAGCTCAGCTATTTTTAAGAAGCTTTGATATAATCTCTAAAGAAAATCACTGATGAAGGTACCGTTAGTTAAACGGTCAATGTTTCTAGAGTAGAGAAGTCCGCCTTAATTATAAAAAAATTTTCTTCTGTTTGAAATGCTAATCAATTTAGCGACTTCTCCCCTCAACAGTTGCTCATACGCTTCAAAATAGCACAACAATTGAAAGTAGATGTAAACAAGTACACCTACTACTTAATTTCCACAACCCAAAACATTCCCTTTCTTTTCATCTTCTTTTGAGTTTTTTTTTTTCCAAAAAGTTGCTCTCCATTAGTCTTTTTGGGTCCAACCACCTGCTGATATGACTATGAAAATGTTCTGTAACTTCAGACCGGTAAGAAGACATAAAACTGTGAGGAGCCGTATGCAAATTCATTGAACCCAGCAAGGCTGCTACTCTCAAAACTAGTTATCTAACAAGTTGATATGTCTTGGATTTCTGAGTGGTAGACTTGCCTTGATATGAAGCCCTGAACATACAAATGAGGTTATGAAGTCAACCCGATCACAGGTAATTGCAAACGGTGATCATAGGAGCACATGACGTACAACACTACAAGTATCGCCTCCACTGAGAAGTATAAGTTTGAGTTGAACTGTATAAGATGTTTCGGTTAGGCAGGGAAGAACCATCATTAGCTACTTCTGTGTAGCAATAGTTTAAATACTTATTAGTTCGCCGAGAACGTATTCCGAAGTAAATATAAATAAAGGAATGACATCATTGTAGATCTGTAGTAAATTATACTCTTCTGTTGTTCATTTTAGCTCCCTAAGTCGTTGCATGCTCTGAACTTTTATCACATATCACAGAAATGCATTTAAAATCGCACATTATTTCGTGCTTCCTAAGTGTGGTCTTTAAATCACTCGCGAGTATTTTTTATTGTCGAACATCATCACTCTGAAACGCTTCCTTTGACTTGAAAACTGCTTTTCATCAGCTGTGATATGTTCATTTGCTGCGAGCTGTAATTCTTACACGCTCGCTCACACTCTCTTACTTGTGAAGGTCTACGCTACACAGCTCCTTGCCAAGTTACGAGCGCAAATCTGAGTTCACACGCTGATGCACTGTTGCATCACCTGCAACTTTATGTAACTTTAAATGCCATTAAATTCACTTAGAAGGCAGATAAACTGGCGTACAGGAGCAGCAGCTACACACACAGTCGAACTCTGTATCTCACTTGGTTTTCTGGAGATGACCATTTCATCGACAGACCGACCAAGTACTTTGCTGTTTTACAAGTCTTTTATTTTTGCCCAGACGCTGCAAGAGTTGTGGGAGCGCTAGGCTGTGGGTTTTTGTATTGAGGGTTAAGGGCTACGTATGTTATTTATGGCCAAGAATTTCGCCTGCAGACGGCAAGTGAAAAACGTTTTGGAATTTTTACTAAGTGTTCGCCTAAAAAAACAGGATAACTTATTTCCCAGCGAGCGTGAAATGTGTTTTTCTTAAGCGTTTGAGAAATTTGAACATGAGATATGTATGTTCTTTAGAGCCGTTGGAGAAAATTAAAATTCTCGAGTTGAAAACTTACATATTTATCAAGCTAAGCGCTTATCCTTACAGCTACTTGGGTGTACTTTCAAAATTAAGAAAACTATTGAGAAAGTGTATTGAGAAACTGTTGAGAAAATGGTGCTCATGTACCATAAAACAGTTTAAACTCACTAAGGATGCTATGTTTAGTCATTTACAATTAAACGTTGAATGCAAGCATTGTTGATACGGTTATTGAGATTCTATTTAGAATGTATACAATGCTTGTTGAGATGCATTTGAGACTGATATTTTTCTTATTCAAACACTATAAACGACAATAAAAGCTTGCTGAAATACTGTACAATATATGACGCTATATATTGTATTTATTGGAGAACTAGATAGAATAATTTAAGCTCACTAAGGAGGTAACTAGCTTGTTGAGAGACCTGTGATAAGAAATTAAATTTCAGTTGTCACGAAAAGAGAAAGCTTGTTGGGTTGCTACCAATTTTAGTTGCATACTTGGCTCACAACTTACAGACAACGCGTAAATCGCCAAACGCTACACAACAGCCGCTTCAACTAATACACATTTGCAACGAAATCGTTTTTGGTATTGAAATTTTATTGTTTCGTACTAAAACAATTGCAAACCTGTGTAGCACCATTCAACTATACAGTCAAGACAACAACTCAATAGGGGCAATTGTCAATTGCACGCAATGGACACCACTCAATGGTATAAAACAAAGAGAGAAATCAACAAAAATACCTTTTGTAGGTAACCGATTTCGTACAATAACTAGCATTTCCGTTAAGCATTTGTCAGTGCTGCAATACGCATAAATCCAATTTCACATCAATCTCGGTTGCCTCGCAAGCAAAAACAGCAACAGCTACAGTGAACACTAACAGCTTTAGCATCAACACCAGAACCAGAACCACCACCATCAACATCGTCATCAGTTGGCACATCAACGGCATCAGTATATTCATCAGTGGCGTCTCAACATGATTTCCACTGACTGCAAGCGGCAGATAGCTTCTCACTTCTTGACTTTCTCATTTAGCACGTACGTTGGACACATAAAATTCCCGACAACCGTTGTATGCGTGTGTCTTCATTGCCAAGCTCATGAGCTCGTGTGTTGCAAGCACTTTCTTTTGCAATGTCTGCTCACTTCACTGCACTTCGCTGATTTGTGCCGTTATACAGGTGTACGCTAAAGCTGGGTATATGCTTTTGCCAACTTCCGACAAGCCAAGTCAACATTACACAACACTACACAGCACAGCACTACAAACACTAACGACCAACTTCAACTTCAACTGCAACTTCAATATGCTTTACCGCTTTTAGGTGAGTGTGAGTGTTGGGGTGTGTGTCTGTTGGCATTTATTTGTCTCTTCAGTATGTCAACGGTATTTTGTTCAACGTCCTGTGCGCCTTTCCATGTCCTTCTGCTGTGTCTGAGCATTGTTTAATGGTTTATATGTGCACATATGTGATGACGTTATGGCATGTGGAAGAGATTTCACTGCAAATGGCAGGTTGGGTGCGGAAAATCATGCAGTCATAGCGCAAATGTGCAAAGATTTAAATTATTACCGACAAACCTGCAATGTGTAGGTAGCAATGAAAGCTGAAGGGGTTTGAGAACGCATCCCTATTATAACATACCTTCAGGATTTGAAGGCTGCTCAGCGCAGGCTACTAGTGGACGAGCTACATCGAAGGCCCATTTACAATTGGAGTATAAAACTAGCGGATACTAATATGAAAATCTAAAATCTCTAACCATCATGGAAGAAAAAGCATTGGTCCCTTCATATCGGTACAGTTATTAATCTTTAAGAAACTTTGCATTAGAACTTAGATTCGACTTTTTCGTTGTCACATAACGTTAAACTCATTAAAAGAACAGCAAATTTAAACGACATCAGCGGATAAATAAAACCGCGCCTCCACAAACAGATTTCCATCCTTTTGAAGAGGTTTGACCTTTGTGTCATAATGATAAATCCTAAATGCTTATAAATTCTCAGAAACACTCTTATTTATTTAGAAAGTTTCTGCTGTCCCGCTCAAGTGATAAGGCATTCAATAACTCATCTCTTCTGATAGATACTTGTAGATAGATTTGAGTAAAGGTATGCACCGCGACCTATGGTCTATTGTGCATCTCGTTTGATTCGATCTGAGTTCTGACAACTTTTCAAACTGGAAACGCATTCCAGAGTCCACAAGCCCGTACTCGACGGAAAGTATGATTGGTAAGACTTTGCTTATATTAGGATTAATCCAAAGTCCGGAAAATGAGCAAACGAGTCAAAATACTAAAGGCGATGAATAACGTCTAATAATACTCTAACTAATTTATGCTCTTTCTCGCTCCTAAGGCTCTTACGACACAGAAATACTAAGTCTTCAGCATAACTTACTTTATAAGATTTCAGTCTGGAGCAGTATCAGCAATAGTGTATTTGCTAGAGTACTATACCTTAAAGCTTCGCAAAGTCCAACTGCGGTTTTAGAATTTTTTTCCTTTAGACACTATTGAAGCCTTCAGTCTGGATATTTTCATTCTTTCAGGGCGGTCAGTCCAAAGAAGGTACTGATGGTCTTTAAAGTTAATTTTTTTGGAATGGGTCACAGCAATTTATAATTTGGCCACCGAAGAACCTTGGAAATCTGACTACTTGACGCTGAAGTTTAGCCTCGTGAAGTAAGTTGCTTAGTTCGAAGTAGCTTTTGTCTTAACTGAAGAATTTGATTTCCAAAGATTTCTAGAAAAATATTTATAACAATCGGATACTAAGAGAGTCGCCACATACACTGTTCCTTCAATTAGAGCTTTTGCTGCCTGCTGAGCGGTAAATGAATATCTTCAACCACGGACCATGACAATTAACCAAGGTAGTCAGAAAAAGTCACTGAACGGCGCTACTTTAAAGCAAATCTGCGCATCAGGTGGTCACTTTCCTAGCGCTCTACCACTACATAATTGCGTGGAGTGTAAAGCTCCGACACAATACATATTTTGTCTAGTAGACCATTGTCATTGTGAGACCCCTACATCTGCTTATTTCCTGTGCCGCTGTGATTATATTTGATTGAAATTCTCAGATTAATTCTGCATGACATTTACGGCCAAACGTGACGCTGGCACAATCAACAGCGGCACGAGTATTAACGTCCTTACAAGAGTTTGTGTGGGAAAATGAGCGCCAGAAGTGGCCAGCCTGCCATTTATACAAATTACTACATTTACGCTCGCACGCATTTAGCCATATGAGTATCCGA